TAGTGATTATAACCCTCACTAAGTAGAATTCTCCTTTCTGTGTTGCTGAAGAAGTGAGGCTGAACACCTTTTGCAGAGAACACCTTTCTGCGTAGGCGGCCTTCGGCCGCACTTAGTGGTTATAACCCTCACTAAGTAGAATTCTCCTTTGTGTGTGGGGGGGGGAAGCATAAGAGTGATACCATAGTTTCTGTTGCGCAGAACTTTTTTCTGCGTAGGCGGCCTTCGGCCGCGCTTATGGATCATAACCCTTACTAAGTAAAATTCTCCTTTCTGTGTTGCCAGACAAAGAAAACACATCACTTTTTTCCACTTCAAAAACAAAATATTCGACTTCCTCCTATAAATTATTAATTTATTCTTAAAAGGGCTTACAGAAATCATTAAAAGCTACACCTACTCTTCTTCCATAACCTCAATTTCAAAATCCTCTGCTTCTTCCGGCATGTATGGATTCAGTGGATTGTATAATGCACCAGCCAGTTTAAAAAAATTGCTCAGCGGATCCAAACCTGCATGTTTGCAATGCCTCACAAACATAAATTTTGCCAAATATCCACTAAAAAACTTTTTGTTTCGATGGTACTGCGGCATTGAATATTTGACATGCCGCCAAAGTCCCTCAATTGTATTTGTGTGTTGTTGCGTTTCTGGGTCTTTAAAATTAACCGAATGGTTAACTTTAAAGTGAACGTACCCTTCACACTTAGGCAGTCATACGCCTGCAACGAAAAACATTTTAAATTTATATATATATATATTTATATTTATATACACATATATGGGCACTTAGGCATTAAACTCACCTTCCAAAAATCGGAAACTATGGTCGTGTTAGGAAGAATCCAATTCTTTATAACTGCCAATAAAGTTTCCTTATCCCGCTTTTCAACGGGAACAAGAAAACACTTATTGGTACCACGCTCCACTCCACCAAAAACCCATTGCCCTTCAACAGCGTGTCCACGATGATACTTCCGGCGTCCGAATTTGCTTTCGTCTATCTCAACAATAGACCCGACACCTCCAATTTTCCGCCCCTTTACAACCATGCCGTCATACACTACCTCACGGCAAAAATTACACCAATCAACTGCGGTCGGTCTTGTAATACTTAACTCCTCAATTATAAAATCTTGTGTCACATTCTTCAACCAAAAGTAAGAAAATGCAATGAGCTTCACCATCGATAGCCTCGACCTATCAAAGAATGTGTTTTTTCTTAATGAAATTTGCTGATTACACGTTCGCACTTGCTTTCCAGCCTTCGAAATTTTACGGCACCTACACATAATTTTTTTTTGTATTACAGTTTAATAGACGCACGGTAAACTTACCTCCAAACGAATCCATCCGATGATGCAGTGCACTCCAACAATTTCAGCGGATGGCCCCGAGCGCATAAATATTGCCCTTCACGAGGAATTAAATTCCACTCCTGCAACTGTTCGAGCACATTTGCATTAATCTTAAGACCGTCCTCACTTTCAAACATTTTATATATTTTAAATAAATTAAGAGTATTCATCTTTTTAAAAAATATTCAAAACACGTTTTTTATCTCCGCCGGAACACAAACAAATGAAAAATAGCTGTATGTATATACATATATGTACATATAAAACGGCATAAATTTTCCCGCTTCCAACAAAAACAGTACCCTTTCCAAAAAAGTCCGTTAACTCGCCTTGTTTAATTAACTAAAATATGCATTTGCAAATACATGCATTTATATTTTTTATTATCACTGAATTCTGAAAACTCAAAAGCAAATCATAATATAATAACTATATCAAATCAAAGGTAAGAACTTGCACTTTTTCAATAATATAAATTTGTTAGCATTGATTATGGACTTTTTCTAAAAAAGGGTTATTTTATGAAAAAATTATGACATTTTTTTCGGTTTTATAATATTTTTGGCTTAAATATATAAAAAAGCATACACATTTTATATATCAGCTTGAAGATAAATTAATTGTCTTTATTTTGACATCATTAGTTTTTAAATCGGTTACGCAGTTTAGAAAATATTAATGTCTTAAAATACCACAATTTTTTTGTTTTACCTCTTATATCTGCTTTGCTTTTTAATTGCGGCAAATAATATTTATATAGTTAAAATCAGCGTAAAAAGTACTAGCAACCTGCATTTTTAGTTTTTCTATAGCTGAACGGTTGGTTATCTTGATGTATGCCCTACTGAGGATACCCGAAAGAAACGCCCCTACAAAAGAGCAGCCTTGAGGCTCAAATAAATAAAAAAATACATTGGCGCTTACACGCTATTTTAGTGTTGGGCCGAGCTTATCCTGCGATTTGTGGCGTGCATTTTGATGCTGTCGCACAAAGGGGTGGGACCAACAGTTTTACGCCAACTCCGAACGGCGATTGTACTTTTATGAGAAAGCTGATTTGCATGTATTTCTGACACTTGGAGATTTGACATTGCCTGCCGAGGGCCGACCACTATTAAAAAAAAAACTTTTTATTTTTTTTGTTTTTGTTGTTAGTCGGAAACTGAGCTCAATATGAGGCCCTACAGAATGGTAATGCGCACATCTAACCGCTCCACCACAGCAGCGCCTAACAAATTATAAGTAATAAGTAGTAGCTCCTAGTGGAGATTAACGTACTATGTAACGATTAAAATAAAAAACATAATTTTTAAAAATTTTTGTTCGCGTAAATAATTTTACAATATCATTTGTAAAACGGGTCTATAGAATATGCGTTCGGTTGGAAAATACCAACATTAAGTCACATAAAACACGGGGGAAAAAAACTGATGTATTGCCGCTGACGGTATTCGTACTCGATTTTTCCTGAAGCTAACAAATAAGAGCAAACACCTCTACACGTTCAGCTACAGCCACACATACGAATTTGTTTTCGAATGTTCAACTTGAATCAGATTTCTTACAATCGGTATACTTACTTACTATGAAAAAACCAAACAATAACTTGGTGGAAAAGGCCCTTATACTTTTGGCTCAGTGTATGGGCGGGGAATTTTAAGAAATTTTGGGCAATTTCATTATCGAAATCGAAAAATCGAAAATAAACATTAATTTCATTTAATTTTATTCATTTTGTTGATTTATAATTGAATCGGTGAGTTCGAGAACCGCACAAGTCCAATATTTGACATTTTGAAGTACATAAGATAGCCATTTTGTTGAAAGTTGGTCTCTTCATCGACTGACGAGCCACTCAACAACTAAATAGTAGCGCTATGGTAGGCGCCAGTATGCATATAAATATTAGCTGGCTGTGGTTGTTGAGGCTTCGCCATGCCCTAAAAATATGCTAAAGAAGTAAAAAACTTAGTATTTTAGACTGTACTGTAGCCTAATTATTAAGCAACATTTACAATTGGTGTGGAAAACTGATTATTTACAACTTCGGTCGATTTGAATTTGAATTGACCCAGATATGTCTAAAGCTTTGTTATGTGAAAAATATTCTTGCAAATTTTTAGTCTTTACGGTAAAGTAATCAATTTTTATTTGATCTAATTTTTTAATTTGTTTATAACAATAAAATTTTAACCGGTGTGTGTAAAGAAATTTTTAAACTTTGTACATATTTTAAAATCGGTAATTGATGAAAAAAGAAAAAAACATTAGTGGAAATTTAAATAAAAATTAAATATTTTTTTTAGAAAAATTTGTGAAACCGGCGGTATATTAAATTATTTCTCTTTAAACAATATTGGCACTTTTTTGAAAAGATAAAAGAAAAAGATTATTTCTCTTATTGACTCGCGACAAAGCCACGTAAAGCTGACCATGAAAGACACAGTTTACACTTAAGTCCACACCAGCGACTCCTAACGTTTGGCCTTGAGATTTGCGGATTGTAAAAGCGAAATGCAGTTTTAAATTAAATAGGAGCTTGAACTGAAGGGGAGAGTGTATCGGAATAATAGGGATTCTGGATATTAATACTATTTCCCCAGTGCCACTTCCAGTTATAATAAAGAACATAACAGTTTTATCGGAAAAACTTTGTTCCATAACAGTTATTATATGAAAAATATTTTTTGTTTGGCCATTAAAAGTTATAAATCAACGCTTACTTTTTACGTTACCTTATAACTGTTATGCTATGGTTTCCGTCGCCAATAAGAGTTATTTCGAAACATTTATTTCTTACGGTGCTTGATATTAGTTATTTCGCTCCTCCTCTTTTATTTTCATCATCTTTATCTTCTTCTCCTTCTCCGTCTTCGTCAATATTCGTATCTTACAACGTTTATCAGACAACGTAAATAGTAAACGTTAGATAATAACGACGATATCAAGCGACGTAAAAAATAAACATTGGGCAATAACTGTTATCAAGCAACATAAAACATAAACATTTGGCAATAACTGTTATCAAATAACGTAAAAAATTAACCTTGGGTTATAACTCTTATCGGAGAAATAAAAACTATTTTACAACGCTTTTATCAACTTGCAATGTTGTGTAGGGTTGCCAGATTCTGAAACAGAGAAAGGAGTACATTTCTATTTTCGATAGAAAAAAAGCAGTAGAGAACTTAAAAAAGGAGTACAATTTTTGTTTTAATTTTTTTGTGCAATTTATTGTTACAAATTACCGTTATTTAGGTACAAACAAACACGGATATCATAGAAATCGTTTTCAAAGCAACAATAAATGTTAAAAATAAATAACTAAATTCTACAAAAGAATTCCAGGCTATTCCTGAAGGACGGCAATTTTTTTATTTTATAATTTTTCTGATTTTTATACCTGAGCGCCCTGCACCTGCCTACGACCATGCTTACACCTTTTCACTATCACACTTAACTTTACTTACTAAGTAGTGTTCGCCACAAATGGCAAAGTACAGGGCGTAAAATAATAACTGTCGCAAAGGTTTTTCGAAAAATAAAAGAGCCCTTTAAAGATTTTGCGAAAAAAAGTATTTTTTGCTAACTTTATAAATAATTTACTTTAATTTTATTAATTAGTTTTAAAACTTTAATCCTTTTTTCTATTTGCCAGCTTTGGGAGATAAGTACATGCTTTTT